ATGCTACTCAGCTGCTTTCTTACCAAAGATACCGGGTCCTCACAATAAGAACAGTTGGCATGGAGGCTAAGGAACAGAGGGCACTTTGAATTAAGCCGATTACAAAGAGGAATGCTACTGATGCTAAGGGGACAATGCAATGACATATGATCAACTACAGTCAAGCTGCAGACAGCAGACGAAGAGAAGCACGAGGCTGCAAGCCTGCCTAGGACTCTATCTTTCATCTGCACTGTTGACTTGGTCTTGCCCACTGCACTGTGCATACTTAGGCTTTCATCCCCCAAGGATCCCTCAACCTGACTTCACCAAACTGCTTCAAAGTACAGAGAGGCTGGAGCTAACCCACATAAAGCTGAACCTTCAGTGTAGCACAGAACGGCACAGTGCTGCTACATCCTTCATTACATTGGCTGTGTTTGTTAGAAGTTGACCTGATTTAGGCTCTAGGTTTGAGTTAGGCCAGTGGTGCATCTTGATTAGTGTGCTAAGCTAACCGAGGCAGTTTTGGACTAATCGGTATGTAATGGTGCCCTATATATTTGCACATTCCAACTTTAGATCTAAAAACGGTTTGAGTCTTAAACATTTACAGTAACTATGCAGGGTTGGTTTGTCAAAATAAAAGTCATTTGGGCATGCAGACTGCAGGTGTTGCAGTCAGGTGAACCTGAGATGTTTAAAATAATAAAACAGACAGATGTCCTAGATAAAACCTGCCAACCACACAGATGTCATATGAAAAAATGGAAGAGCACTCTTTCATTCTGACTGTTTTTTAAATAATAATAATAAAAGAGGAAGGGGTTCTGAGGAGGAACTGAAACAGAAGGTGGAAATGGAGTCTGGCCTTCTCAACATTGCTGGTTCATCAAATTTAATCAAGGCATTGCACACTGATGCACCAACAGACACATATACATGCAAGTACACACACAAACACACAAAGCACTTTGCTCCTCACGGGACAGGCTTTTAGTGCTCTGTCTCATGCAGTATTTAATTGACCCCACAAAGGAAGCCTAGCAGTTTCAAATGCACTCCTTCCCCCCCAGCAACAGAGAAAGCACGAATGCCTGCGAGCATACCCACAGCTTCCCACCAATGCTCCTCTGCCACCCAACAGCGCTAAATGGCATTTTCTGCTTTAGTGCAACTCAGACTTTCCACTGGAATATCAGCACGGAGGCAGAAGAACTTGGACGTACATCAGATTTGTTGAAAATACTCAAATGTAGATGATAATTCTGCCATGCTTCACTCTGACAGCCACATACAGTACATGCTTAAAGTTTCAATAATAATTATTAAGAGCACAGTTGAACGATTTCCCTGTTTCCATAAAGTTAACCTATATCTGATCAGGTATTATTCTGAAGCATGTACAGACATATTGTTAGGTTTATAGTAGCAGCAAAGAGATTATATGCAGAACAGATAGCAGCATACTTACTCAGTTGGAGGTAGGAGAGCACACTCCCCGTCTCTCTTGCTCGGTACCTCTGCTAGTCAGTCATGGTGTGTTCTCTCTGTTGGTTACACTGAACCCCACCCCCAATCTCCACCATTCTCAGTACACAAGCCTTTGCTACGTCAGTGAGGCTCTATCTACCCTGCATCTCATATCTCATCCTACCCACCCTCTCTCCTCCTCTCCTCTCCTCCCTTCATCTCTACCTCGCCTGACCAATGGGACTCTGTATTGCAATGTTAAGTTCATTCAGGACACCGCTGTCGCTAACAAAGTGATCATGTGAAGTTTAATGGCATTGTCTTACGCTGTCAATCAGGTTCATAAAATGTCTCACCAAGCCACACTTTCTGATGCATGAACTCTTACAAGCAAAGAATAATAAGTAGCATGAAAATATTTATTTCAGTCATTTTTTGGGATTCTTACAAACACTACATGGCTACAAGGATAACATACCTGAATAAAGAATGTGGGCACTCTGCCCTTACATATGATTTTATTAAAACCATGGGCAGGCCAGGCATATTATACCATCGCAAACTCGGAAAACCCATTTTAGTGGATGTTTATAGCCTAAAATATGATGCCATACTGTTGCATTTACCTTCAATTTAATTGGAGCTCTTGCCAAAACCTTGTAAAATTACCCGAGGCTGATTAGGTGGACAGTGGTGTCCACATACTATGTTGTTAAACTCACAAACACAAAGGCAAAAGCACAAAGGGGAAAATCGGCTATTTTAAAGTCCTCTCACACTGTCTTTTTAGCTGCTGTGGATGTCAACATGTCAGATGTCAAAAGTTTTGAGGCAGGAGAAAAATCTTCTGGTGTTATGTTGTCTCTGGCATGTGGAGGTGTCCCCAGTGTAGGCCTCTGTTGACTGCATGTGTTCTGAAGCTGTCATGCTTAGCTGCGCTCTGACAGCCACTCAGCAGCTGGGTGGACAGTATGAGTTACAGATGTGTGCAGATGTAGATGTGAGAGACTTTTTTTAATCGTACAAATGAACCAAATATCTAAAGAGAAGAAGGATGTAACTCTTCTATATGTGTTAATTTGTGCACAGAATGCATTGCATGAGATACAGTGTAAAATAAACAATGTGTCCAAAGCCAGACCAGTCTGACACCATAAAGCCATGACTATGGTAATGTAAAAATCTCGAGCAAAGTTGAGATTCATAATTCATAGCATAGGCGGATGAGAAGAAGCAGAGGAGAGAGAGATGGAGGAGGCATTACATTTGAATTCTGTATGATCAAAAGATTTGAATAAAACATGAATGGATAAAGGTTTGAGAGATAAACTCCACAGTGTTGCAGCTTTTGGAGTTGCAGCCAAGCATTGAGTGCAGATGTCTGTCAGTCTGTCCTGTACAAAGTGCCTCTGTAGGCAGAGCTGCTGCTGGTGCATTATGGATGAGGGGCTATTTTAAGGCAGCAGGGATGATGCATTTAATTTCTGAGTTGAGGGAGACGGCACCTGGCTGCTGCCAAATCCTTTCATGAGGTTTGTACTTGTACTTGATGGGTTCAGACAGGCAGATACAGCATGTGTTCCCACACAGACCGGGTCCCTGTTTGAAGTACGATCACCAAGAAGAGAAAGGAGGTAAACAAACTGGTGGGATGCCAGTGATGTGGATCAAAGTGTCACCAAGCAGTGCTGCTGCTAGGGTTGGCTCCAGTCCCCCCACAACCCTCATTAGGATAAATGGTATAGATTGATAGATGGATGGGTGAATGAAAATATTCCCTATGCTACTAAAATGAAAATGTTTTTTTAAAGTCATATTTTAAATGCAGCAACATCCAAACTTGTTCTTAGTTTTATGCTACCAAAACTGCAATTGAAAATAAGATATCTGACAAATTGACAAGACAAGATTGTGGCTTCGTATTTTATGCATCTAAAAAAACTCTGCTCTTTAGAGGAAAAGCAAACACTCACTCTATTTAATCTCACTGAAAAACAAGTATTGAATACTTCACCAAATGGTATGAATCACAAAATGAAGTGACCGAGTCACTTGAAGCTTATTTTCCAAGAAGAGGTGTTTAATCTGAAGTGCCACGTCTGTCTCAGTGAGATGCTGTAGAGCCGTTTGGCACTCCACCACACAGGATGACTCTAGTGCAGACAGACTGACTAGGCCCCCTGCAGTTTGCCACTGAAGCAAATGATGCAGTCATCTTGCTACTACAGAGGACCATTTTCCAGCTGGTTAACACCGGTAGCACGGTCAAAATCAGACATGTTGACTTTTTAAGCAGCTTTAACACAGTCCAGACCCTCTGGGTGGGAAATGAGTTTACAGAGATGTAGATGGACACCCTGATAGTGTCCTGGATCAGGGGTTATCTCACAGTTTGTCAAAATTCAGCAATGTGTGTTCAAAACAGAAGGTACGTGTCTGTCTCTCTAGCTAGCAATCTAGCTTCTAAAAATAAAATACCTAGGAAAGAGTAAGCTAAAGAGAGTCATGGCAACCTTTCACTTTAAAAACGATTAGGCTGGTCAGTCTGAAAGCAAAACAGCAACAATGTCAACTCTCACTGCAAAAAATACAATCAACCTAAAAAAAACTGAACATGATGTTTTATGACTTTACACTGTTATTTCATCACACTAATAATATTGTCTGTTCTCCAGCTAAAATTGGATTATATTAAGAGAAAAGCATGAGATTACAATTTTGAACAAGTAGATGATTGTATGATGCACATGTTGCAATATCATTTGCAGCTATTACATTATGAGTTGTTACAGAGGTAACTTTCACTCTAAAGTCCCCATTTTATATTTCCCAGGCTCATAGCCTTTACACTTTTCTCTTTAGGTTGACACTCAAACCCTTTTCTGTAAATATTAACCGTTTTCCTGATGCCATCTTGTTGTAGTGTGTGCAGAGAATGTGTATAGTGAGAATATCATTTTAAAACGTGCTTTATAATTTCCACAAGTTCAGACCAATAGCATGTATGTCAGTCTCATGTAGATGTAAAAGAGAGGAAAGGTGACAGTTTTGTTGACAGTCTATTGATTCGGTGGTACAGTTTTGTCACACTCTGGCTACTGCATTTTATGTGACAAAGTGGTTATTATAGCTTAAGAACAATACTGGAGCTCATCCAGTTCTCATGGTAGAAGTAACAAACCTAGAGTAACAGATCACTGCTGTCATCTGTTGCTCCAACATCGTTTTAGTCAACATGATTACCCTGAACACGCTGCAACCGAGCTCATCCCTAATTTCTCCAGACTGACAGTGTACGGCGATGCTCCTGTACTCCGAAGTGAAAGCTTCCCAGTGAGGTCAGTCTGTCTAATTTAATTATCTGCATCCCACCAAGGACCAGCCTCTGCCGTTACCGGTGATGTTTCGGGGTACTGTAATAAAAGGCTACACGAAGCCTGCAGCTTGGTTTAAACCCCTTAACACGGCACATAAGCAGTCAAAAATCTCATTCAGCCGTCAATTACCCGGACAGATCCGAAAGAAGAGACAACTGAAGACAAACCAACCTCATTAAGCAGAAAGACGCTTGAATTGGTCAGGGACATCCGCAGTTTACGGGGGTTCTCGCTCACCTAAGCCCAGAGGCATCAGCTAAACGCAGGGCGCCGCGCCTCGTCCAAACGGGTCGGCTGCTGCTCGGCGCTTCATCTGGATGTGAAGCTTCGGCACCTGCGTTGTAAGATTTCCAGTTTTCTGGATTCACGGCCTGATCGTTGACTGCACACGGTGCCATACGCGCGGTGGATAGATGACGGCTTTGGTGATAAATTATGCAAGACCTGCACTTTTCACACAGCCCAACCCCCGAGGATTTCTTCTGGTCGGATTTCTACTTTAAAATGTGTTTCTATGATGGTAATGTAGGCAACAGCCCTCTGGTCGGAACTCATTCGCTGACACGTCTAGAATTTCACTGTATGGGTTTAAAGCTACAATTTTCACCAGTTTTACGATTTTCACCCAGTTATCGAACATTTTTACGAAGCAACTGTTTCGCTTCCAGCTCAGGTTCAGCA